CCAGAACATTTGAACGATTACTGCACGTAAGACACAAGTTAACATTTTATATCCTCTCGATTTTCCCTGGTACTATATATAATTTTTTTAAAAAAAAACCCGAATTTAATATGTTTATATATTTTTATTATCTTTTTTATTTCAAAAAAGAAAAAAACAAAAATATAACGATATTATAAAAATCCTTTTTTTACACTACAACGTGAGCATGAGTTTGTTTTCCTTTTTCTTCGCTTGTTTTGTGTTTTCACGCGCGTACGAGTGTATTCCGACATGCACTTACATATTTTTCTTTTCTTTTCCAGGATGACTGGAAAAGACGGTGAAAAGAACGATGAAGTTGCGAGAAACGAAAATCTGCATTGTACTTTTTTTTACTATATTGTACATCATGGTCCATTATAGTAAGGAAAGACGACCAGACGCTGCTAAACCTAGCAAGCTATCAGAAGAGTGTTTACCAACGAAAAACTCGTTGGGTTTAAACTTCTGGCTGGCCACGTCTTAGGGTCATCACTACCCCACTAGGGGGGGGAGTGATCTGTAGTGGTAATAATTCCTCAAAATCAAATAGCTCTGTAAGTTTTCGACATTGGATGCTGACCACAGTTTTAGTGGACTCATCTAGCTGAAGGCGCTTGGTCAAGCATCCGCACCAGATCACGTGTGGGAACGCCATGCTCAACATCTGCCGCAATCGCTAGCCGGATTAGTGCAAACGATCCTCGAGATATTGATAGCTTATCAAATATATCTTCAATCTCCTCACTTCTGTCTTTTGATTTTACTTGGTGGGTGCGCTTCGTATTAGAAGGTGTTACTGGTTAAAGCGTTGTCAAACTCCGAATACCTGTGGCATCTTCAGTGGGAACATGCTGTAGCACTTATTCCTCAGAAATGTAGATCTGATAAAATTTCGCCATTACTTCTGAAGCACATAGTGGGCGCTCACAGCACTATACCAGTTAAATCGGAGTTGACAGCAATCCAACGATATCGGCAATAAGATTCGTTGAAGGAGTCGCTTTATGTTCTCTAATTCACAAGTTGTTACAAACGACTTATTGGCCAATAGTCTTGAAAGACAGACTTTGCTGGTTCGGTAGAACAGTTTGGCTCGGGAAACCAGTATTCTGAACCCTCAAGTTTCCAGTATCAGATGTGGAAATATGAACAGAATATAATGAGAAGCTCAGAGTGTTGAGTGTTTCAGGAGAACTAGAGACATTTGACTGGACGAAAAGTTATGTTGAATATCAAGAATTTCACTGTGGTTTCGGATGTATTTATTTCATTCAACTTCTGAACTTGTTTATTTGAATCTCTGACTTCTTACATTTTAGTTTTACTCTGTCTTTGGTTTTGCATGTAAAATTTTTGCTCTAAGACTATCTAGAGCAGATTCCTTTCATGCACGTGAAAATGCAACGTCAATTAGGAAGAACATTACAGATTTGGAAAATATAGGTCCTGGAAGTCTATATCTTCTAATAGCATATGACAGCTGTATAATTCGCTGTAATTAGAAATTATTTCTCTGCGTAGCATTCTCATATTTGTTTAGAGCTGGTATAAAAGATTTGTAGCTCAAGTAAATTATTTTGATGGAGTTTTGTTTTCTGAGCTAAATGATTTGGTCGTGAAGCTTCCTTTGTTATTCTGAACGACATCATCAGCACAAACGTCATGTGGAAGTGATGTGTTCGAATTTCTCCACATATGTCTCATAGATTGTCCTGTAAACCTCGATCTTGATTGGTTATTCTTAACCTTCAACCTGTCATTGTCTACTTCTTTATTTTATCTTTTTCTCCTATTGATTTGGTTCTTGATCCTATAACTGTCCATGGTCTTTCTGACTGGTTGACAAACTTGATTGACTTCAATGTGTTTGTTAATTGCTGATTGACCTGAATATCGAGCTTCTAAAAATGCTCTGGTGTTCTTATAATTGCCCGTATCTAAGGTCTCGACATTTTCTCAGTCAAATGTGTGTCCACAGCTATACTGACTCGTACTACATGACAGCCAGTGGTTGCCAATAAGGAATTTTGAAGAAGAGAACAATGTATTTAACATGAAAAGAAAAAAGTTATATAGAATAACCAAATCCGCCTGGCCGTGACGCTTTCTAAAAATGTTTCTGCCTTCATCATTTCTCACCTCCTCCAAGTGTGAAAGGATTAATGTAAATCTTTTTACTTATTATTCGTTTGGCTTCAAAGATATCGTAGTTCAAGACCAATGTAGCTACAAGGAACTATTTTGCGTCCATTGATCTTTCTGAGTCTTATCAATGATCATTTAGACAGAACTAGCTCAGAAACGAAGCGAAAATGTGGAGGTTCAGAAGAAACGGAAAGTAAGCACTCAAACGAACATCCACGCTTCTCGAGGCAATCCACATAAATTGCAAATCAACAGCTGAAACCTAGGTATACTTCCACCTTTTCTCACTAATAGATGCTCCGATTTGCGATTCACATCTACCCAAACAGATCAAAGGCCTCTCAGCAAATAAATTTAAGAGATGAATCGACAAATACACACACATACAGATTACCGTTTCTCGCCCGGATTATTTCCGCCTAATACATGTCTTATAGCTTATCTACTGTTGTCACCATCACACGTCTGTGTTGTATGGCCCATCAAATATCACATGACACCTGTTAATCATAATGTCGACTTTTATGGCCTTGCCCTGTGCTCAACCAATGGTGCGTCAATCAGGACGAGCAGCTTCGAGCCAATTCTGAGTTTCCATTAGTCATCTGTTTAGTAACTGCTCGCCTAGCCCAGACTGTTTAGTCCAAAAAACAAATGTCAGCCTTCGCGATATGAATTGTTTATTTCAGACACACGTGGTTTTCATATGAGCACACGTGACAGCATCATACCACGAAATAAGAAATAACAGTTATATATGAACAAGCCAGAAGTGGCTGTAAGTATGTGATAATGTAAATAATTCATTGCGAAATAGAAATACATATAACTCGGTTATTTAATTACTATTCAATAGGAATATATGTAGTAAAAGGCTATAATAACTCCCAGCAGTTAACATTGATCTACTATTCGTCCGGAAATAACAGTGTCAACAAATTATTCCTTTCTCGCTTTGTAGCATCATCGTAGCTCTTTCGATTCTTACGCTTTAGTCAGATCATCGCGTCTGCATTACTAATTATTTGACCTATTTATTTATTTACTACTGGAAATAATCATCACTTAGCATGAAAAATGTTTCTATTATTTTTTAAGTTGTAGCCAACCGATATCCCACTTGATGGTTCGATGTCTTCTAATCACAGCAACCCTAAAGGCATGAAGAAAAAGCATTCACTCAAATTGTAAGATATGCAGAGCCACAAATAACTACCAACCGAACTAAAATGGTTGAAATAGTTTTTGAACGGAATAGAAGAAGCTTTCGCTTAAGGGACTTCCATATCTGGTAGCAGTGGATCACCAATACCTCTAGGCAGGAACCTAGGTATTTTAGCGATAGAAGAGGAAGAAGAAAAAAGTCGATAAAACATAGCACGACGTTATCCTTAGCCCTGAAGAATATGTCAATTTTTCTTCTGAAGGACTCCAGTGAAGTCACTTGGACTAGCAGGCAGTTAATTCCAGCATTTGACAGCTCTGAAGGAATAAAAGTTGTATCTGCGGTCCGTTCTGCTGGGTGATCCAATTTCTGGGTATTACCCCTTAGGTTTGTGTTGGAGTCAAACTTATGTAGGTACTTAATGGGATGTCTAGGAGTGTTAAAGATGCTGTGTGCAACTAGAAGGTCACCTTTAAGACGCCAGTACTCTAATGGGTAAAGGTTCAGTGATTGAGGGCGCTCTTCATAAGGCTTGAATTTGAGTCCCCGGACTGATTTCGTGGCTCGCCGTTGGATACGCTCTAAATGGGGACGAATGAAACTGTTGAAGATTACGTGTAAAGTTCTTTCAACGTTACCAGCGCAATGTTTACTCGAAAGGCATTTTCGCCAGAGTTAGCGTAAGAATTCAAATTCTAGGGCACCAACACTTTGATCTTTTTCAACTTGGGATGCCTATGGAGAGGAGTTGCCCAAGTCGTAGCTGTAGTTTGCGACTTGTCTCAGATGGACTGCTTGTCATCTGCCCAACTTTGAGGTCGATTCCGATTCTCTTAAAGTGCTAATATTTCTCCTTGGTTGCGCATCTCTTTCCAGGGTTTCATATCTCCAAAAGTAGTAAGTCAGACGATACCTGTTGCCGAAGATTGTTTAGATAGATCAAGAAAAGAAGAGGTCCTCACATCGAGACCTGAGAAACCCCATTAGGACATTCCGTAGCCTGAGAGAAAGTGAAGTTAACCCTGACCTAAAAATGTCTATTTTTAGATATGAAGTGAGCCAATCAATTGGAAGCGCTTTTATACCCAATCGTTTGAGCTTATTGATGTGACATGTATGGTTGACTCTGTCAAGGTAAATAACTCCAACTTACTACTTGCGATCAAGGATGGTTGTCCATCTGTCCACCACAGTCAGTAAGTTGGTTATATAAGAATGGCTCCTCCTGAAGCCGTGATGTCGGGGTGAAAAGAAGTTTAAAATGCTGTGTGCGTCGGCCGGGAATCGAACCCTAGATGGCAAGCATTCTGCCATTCAACCACAGACGCTTAGACAAGAGACGCTTGACTGCCGCTCACTAAACATTGCAAAGGAAATGGAACCGCATCAAAACAACAAGAAGCAAACACAAACGAATTAATCAACTTATACACACTCGCGGCAAGTATATTAGATATCAGGCATTGGGCGATCAACTTATATCGACTGTTGGTTTATATAATTATTTAGGGAAAACAAGCCAAATCGTGTAACTACGTTTCGCTCATAGAATTCCACATTATCTTTTCACCAATAATTAAACATGGAGGAATTATTGTTAGTACCTACCGAAATTGTGATACTATGCCGACCGCCTCTACTGAGCACTTTTGAAATTGAGGCAGAATGAATGGTTTCGATCCACATTATGCATCTGAAAATAGCTATCCAATTTATCACCATGGTAGTTCTCAACAGACATCAAGTATGCTTTTTATTCTTTGAATTATGTTTTTTAACCTGTTTAGATTCAAATGAGAGCCTGAATGTTACAAATAATGTAAACCAAAATGATGATTATGATAAAAATCCAGAAGGATTAAATGGTAAGCTTTTTTACAGGAGTTATTTATATCCTTTTTTGTTTTACGTAATTTATTTGATGACAGGATAATAAAAAATAATAGGAGTTAAATTGTTTTATTTATTGTTTTTGTAGAACCAAAACATCTCACTGAACGTAAAATGGAGAACAATATTTCCTGCTTTAACCCAATTATACCAGAAGCAATTTCTCCTTTATGGACGTTCGGATTTAATCAGTCTGTTCCCCTAATAAACTTGAGCGACGATCGATCGAGCATAGTCTTTTATTCATCTGCCCATTTATTGGTATTATTTGACATAAAAAACAATAGTCAGAAGATTTTGAGGGGACATGTAAGAAAATAATAATTCATGGTAATATTGTATTTTTCGAATTAGTGCAACGAAGTGATGAGCATTGCATGTAGCGGCGATAAACGTTGGTTGGTTTCGGGTGATCGTGGCATTGATAGTGCTGTCATAGTATGGGATGTGAAAACTGGAGAAGCAGTTCGGACAATCACCAAACCACACAGTTATGGTGTCATATCGGTTGCTCTAACCAAGGATGCCCGTTACCTGGCTACATTAGGCGCTAATCCCGTTGATCAGAGTTTCTCTATTTGGAACTGGACCACAGGAAGTAATTTGCCACACTGCCAAGTTAAGATAAGCGGTGAAATGTCTTTTCAGACAAAAATAACGTTCAATCCAGACAACTATTATCATATTTCCACGAATGGAGAACATCAAGTCATATTTTATTCGTGGGTAATTAATGAAATCTCTTAATCATTTACTGTAGAGCAACGAAAAAGAAGATATGGTGGCCTATGCCCCTTCCCTTAAGGATGACGATTTTAAACAGAAAGTTGGTCAGTTCTCTTGCACTCAGTACATTCCTGATAAATGCATTGCTATAACTGGCACTTCAACCGGTCTCTTAGTTATATGGGAATCAGACAAACAGCCCGTCAAAGGTAAGAGTCTAAGAGATCTTACGGTGTATAATGTATTATGTCCTATTTCTGTAGCTTGACTGACCATTACCGTTATGTAACAAAATTGCATAAAACCGTTTTATTTAGGTATAAGGATAGCTGTTCATTATTATGAAGATTTAGTTTCGATAATGTGCATTCGTAATCGTTTGATTTCAAACAATAGAAGCAAAATGAAGTACACTAACCGTTCCTATAATAAAAAATATACGTGGTATATGGTATATGTGTTTTGACATAATCAACCTGGATAAAGTCCACAATGGGTTTAGGATTGGTGTGGCCAGTAACTAATTATAAAATTTCAGAAAGACGATTCACTTCTAAAGCTGTTGAAGACACAAAAAGAGGAGTCCCTTATTACTGACTTACTAGCTATGAATAATATTTACAATTCAATTCCCTCATCTTTGGTGTCCGAACTACTTGACGCCAAATAATGTTTATCTGCTTAAGTCCCAGAAATCGAGTTTATCAATGTTTTCCCACCTAATTGTTTTGTTATCTCATTAACAAAGGAAATACTTCAGTTTTTTGCTGTTTATAGTTTCAGAGAAAATTGTTCGACTTTCAGTAGTACAAAAGTTATTTAATCCAGCAACAGTGAGCCTCATCGTGAATCATAAAACTCCTGATCATATGATTTGTTTAACGTGCTCATGTTTAAGAAAACTATGTCAGCAGAAATCAAGGGACGAATATGCTGTGCGGCAATTCGTTCTATTTTACTTTATAGCTGCGAAACTTGGCCATTAATGGTAGAGGATACTCGTAAGCTACTAGTATTTGATTACATATATCTTAAAAATATTGCTTGCATCTGTTGAGATCATCGGGTAAGTAGCAGTGAGATTAAACGCATGGTATTAGGTAATAATGGTAAATCAGTTGATGAGGTTGCAAATCTTCACCGACTTAGACGGTTGGATCACGTGTTACGTATGCCTAAACACCGATTATCACGACGCGCAACGCTGACTAGTGTTGGTGAGGGTTGAAAGAAAGTTGAGGTTGGCCGAACCAAAACATGGCATCAGTCTTTGAAAACACTAACTTCTGATCTTAGCCATGTTTGTAGACGCAGACTATCTGGTTGGGGTCCGTGCGACTACTGTAAACAATGATTAGTGACTGTGGGTGACATTACTCAGAATCGATCACAATGGTGTAGGTGTATACACTTTCTGTCTTCCCTTAGACTATGAGATTAAAATTGCTTTGTATCTCTCTTTCTACAAACTAATTCTTTCTCCTTGTATCACATCCGTAAATGCGATCTCATATATATATATATATATATATATATATATATATATATATATATATATATATATATATATATATATATATTCCTACCACTGAAATAATTGCTTTTACGAATTCGATGTTGATTATGTTGTGTTAATGAGGTATGGCAACTTGTGACGATGCATATATGTGCCTAGTCTCACGTTGTAACTGGCTGACTGACTAATGGTTACTTCACAATATATCTTGACTGCCGGAAAAGCTATAAATTAAAAGTGATTTCCCAAAATGTATTGAGACGACCGTTTTAAAAGTATTTAGAATTAGTACAATAGTAGTGTATCTTTGAAAAGGTTCAAGTCATACGGAGACATAAGCTAGTGTGTGTAAGCTCTCTGAACTCTTAAAGTGCATTCTTTGTATATTAATATAATTATCTGCTTAAACGCGTGACCTATGACATGTTATCTCATTGGCAAGATGAATGACGTTTTGGCGTTTTTATACCAATAAAAAATCGCAAAACATCAACTAAACTGGTTTTCTTGCTTGTGGATTAAAGTAAGAATAATAAAACTCCCAATCATACGATTCGTCTAACATGCTCATTTTAAAGAAAACAGTAACTGTAGAAATTTCTTGATATCAACATGTCACTTAATAACTTCTGTTTAAAATAAAACTCTAGTAACTTCATGTATATGCAAGAGATCCCACTGTAATATTCGCACATACATATATAATACACCTTTTTATTCATACTTCGATTTACAAGTGTATTAAATTTACTACTTAAGTCTTTGACCTATAATGTATAAATACCAGTTCTGCCTTTTATTTATAAACGTATTTAACGGTTATATCAACAACTGTACCAGTATTAACTGGGAACTTCTTGTTCTTATAAGTTAGTCTAATAGTTTGTGGTTGTTTATGACTTATGAGGGATCAATAGAAACGACACTCCAATCTTTCCCCTATGCAACTCGGGAAGATTCAACAATGCTAAACTGTTGTGTGATAGGCAAACAAATGAAAATAATTATGAAAATTTTTAAAAGTTTGTTATTACTTTCATGCGTTTTGATTACAAATTAATAATCAAATTTATTGATGCAGAAAATTAATTGATGAGTTACAGTGTAAGTTTACTTAAAATAGTAAAACATCGAATAATTTGATTGATAAATTTTCAGAGATCGGCATACATCATTCTAAAAAATATTGGTATGTTCCATGGTTTCTTAGTTATTTATGCCCTTCAGAGTTTAGTAACCAAGTGTTAACATGATAATTGGTCACCAAACGTTTACAAATATCATATTTTGTCCTCCTTAGAGCAAACTTATACAGTGGTGTTGATGCTATCTCAGTTAAACGTTTAAAGACAATCTCTAGAAAGCCTTAAACTCTTATCAACAACACAACCTTTCCCTTATCGTCAGAAAAGTGTCAGGTTCAATAAAACTTGGTCACTCCTAAGCATTAGAGTATGTGGTGCTGGTGAATACACAGTGACTGACTATTGTTGATTACAAACGCATGTAGTTTAATTATTACGCTTTTATTAATTTGCTTGTTTCTGTAAAAAATTATCACATAGTGCTTTTTTCTAAGTAAAATGCACTTGTCGCCGTAAGAATATAGGTAAAACTTATTCATAGGAGAGTAGTACTTTACTTTTAAGCGTTTTATTACTGTTTCACTTTTAATTTTCTGAAATGTCCAGTGATTATTTATCAGCCTGTTAATTAGAAAAATTTTTATCAGTAGAACTATATTGATACTACTATTTATTGTTTTTTCCATCTTTGATCTTTTTAACAGTTCGTACTCAAAATCCTTTTGTTGTGTTCAATTTAAAATATTGAAAATTTATATAAAATATAATTTTTAAACTATTCCACTGATCAATGAATTCAATCAAATTTAGTTTCGAATGCAACTGAGTGAATTCTTATATTTTAGAGTAATCTTTCTCGGGTTGAGATGATTATTTCTCTGCTGAATAGTTAAAGCTTGTTTCATATTAATCTGTAAAGTTATGAAATTAATGGAACCAATATTTTACTGGTATTTACATGTAATCTGAACCAAATTTAAAATATATATCACATATCTTTATCACACTACTTTATGTTCATTTTAATGTTTTACTTGGTTTTGTTTCGCTTCGTGATGTTAATTTCTTATGATTTAAATCGTTTAATTTCATCAGGAGAAAATTCTGAAACACCATATAAACGGGCAACAAAATTGATACCATTACATGAGAAAGGAATAACTTTTCTTACAACCACAGCTTGGTATGTTATTTACTTATATTGTTTGTGCAAGTGAATTGTTTTCCTAAATGTGAAGATGATTATTACAATGAATAAAAAGCCTATCAATTACTGCTTTAAACCAGTTGTCCTTTAAATCAAAACTTTTGAAATATAAAACATAACACATCGAATCATCCACCAATAGAATATGTTTCTTCTATTATTATTATTATTATAATAATTATTATTATTATATTACGAACAAAGATAGTTGGTGGCTAGCAGTGGAGTTCAGGACGCGCGTTGCGTTCTATTTGAGACTCGTCAGCTGGGTGTACCTGCATCCAAGAGTTGGTGTTCACCCCGGGACTCGAACCTAGTATAGTTTTCTTGAAACTCCACTATGTTATTCACTTAGCTACTGAGTCCTGATATCCATTAACTTGAGCAATTAGGTGAAATGTAAATTCATTTTGTATTGTTTGTTTGAATCTTCCTATAGATGTTTTGGACTGCAGTTAATCAATAAGAGACTGATCAGTTGCAGTCCTAAACATCAATGGGAAGATTCAAACAAGTAGTACAAAAGGAATTTTTATGATGTTGTAAACAATGACGACATTAATGAAGGCTTGTGCTAAATAGAGATTTTATTGTAACCAGACTTACTGTTCAGCATACTCAAAACACAGATTCTAACAACAATTTGATCTTAAAGTAAATGCAACGGCTGTGTATTTTAAACTCATCACACGACTTTCACTCTATAACAATTTTACCATGTTGGAATAATAGAAAATGCTTCATGATTCTCAAATGATTCATAAATACATGTAATCTGAAAGACATATTCCACGAATCGATCTATGGAAATCATCAGACTGAATATAAAATAAATTTGTACGGCTTAAGAGCTAATATTTATATTTTTTTACAAAAACTGTTCCCCTTTGTTATCAAAGTTATCCATATATTTCAGCCACCCTTATGGGAAATGTATTGTTACTGGTGATTCTAGTGGACAAGTGAAATTTTTCGATTGTAATTTCATGCTTTTGTTCTGGTATCAAGATCTTAAATTTGGACCGGTGAATTGCGTCAGTTTTGCTACAACCAGTCTTTTTACAGAGTAAGTAATACATTTTTAGGGTGTCTTAAAATAGCTGTGCTTTTTGCTTAAAATCAGACACTTGTTTATTGTTTGTAACTTGTTACAACTTATTTTGAACAAAATAGATTCATTGACTTGTGATGATTTCTGAATCGGATTGGTTAAGGGCTCTAATATTAAAATGATCACATATAAAAAGTGACATGAATCACTTTAACTTATAATGAAAAAAATAACTGTTAGGGTGTTGTTCCCAGGCATCCGAGTTTTATAAGTACGTCAGTCATTCATTTATCAGCATTTGTTTATCTCATATATAGTTCTTAACACATAATAAGTACACTACTATTGCATCTGAAACCAGAGTAGATAACTAATGGAAAGAGTTTTAAAACTTCCGATAGCCTAAATGATATTTACAAGAAAGGAATTGGCAATTTTTCCACAGACTGGGATGATAGCTATGTTTTTAGTTAAAACTAGAACTAGTTCCTGAGACTAAAATTCTTTCTTGGTAAGTTAATGACATGTGATTTCTTCATCTCAACTGGTCTATAACCTATACTTTATGAATTATTTAATTCTTTAATTATTTACAGCATGAAAATATCTGCTTCGAATTAATAGATAAAATTTGTTTAAAAGAACAGTTTGCTTTCTTAATTCATAAACAATCTTTTATATATGCATATATTAATCGTCTAAAGATAGGTTTCATGAAAAGCAGATATCATTTAATCAACTTCTAGATGGCTACGTTCCCAAGGTCATATTTCGACCATTGAGAATCTCCGCATAATTTTTCAGCCTTCTTACAAAAATAGAATCTTATGATTCAATATCAGAGTAAAATTAGTATTTTCAACTTCATTGATTCTTACCAAGTAGTTGTCTCTAGATTGATATTATTTAGCGAAATATAGATCACAAAATGATGAGAAGCACTAATTTATATCAATTTCAAACAGGTACAAGTGGGAGGTTAGTGAATGATAGTAATGAAACACAATTGCCTTACATTACGAAATTACAACTGTTGTAAACTTTGATTGGTTGTTTAATACTTAATTAATGCGTTGTAGCTTGCTTGTTATAACCGATACAAGTTTTTCATTCCGAGGTTCTAAATTTGTACTGTTTTCTGTAACAAATACTTAAGAAAAAAGCAATCGAGTTTTACTGAATCTATCAAAGGAAAAGATTATCCTACTTGTGCAACAATCGGCGCGGAACCATTTATAATAGAAGATTTTATAGTTAGTACATCAAGTGCAGTCATGATTTCTGTTACAGTTGAGGGTGGATTTAAAAAGGTTTGTCTATCATTATATACCATTTGGATGTTTGTATGTTTTGAGGTTTATGACGTAAAATGTTCTAGTTAGAATTTTTGGCTAGTCAATTTAAAGTGAATTGGAAGTGAAAGAGTCAGCCGCCGATACAACTGAATGATACGATGGTTAAAACTCTACTATTAGATTCTCACTCAACATTCTGAAACTAACCCAACTATCGCAAAACCTCAGGATCCTAGGGTTTTTGTGTACAGTTAAGGGGTGCTAAACGGTTTTTCAGTGTTCTTTTATTTTAACAACTCGTTACTTGATATTAATCAGTGACAAAACCTGACAAACCTCTCAATTGTTTGGAAGTAATCAGCTGGCGAAATAAAAAGCCGTTATTTTTCAAAACTTTTTTCCACTTTTAATGAGCAAACTGATAAGTAGGCTAATGAACACAATATGGTTTTACCTGAATATGTGAGAAAAGTTTATAACGAGCAAATATTAAGAGTAGTAGGAGAGTTGGACTAATATTGTAGTGAACAAGAACACCATTGGGGACAATCGAATGTATTTAACAACCTATTACAGAATTAATTAATAAAATCCAACAACTATATGATAAATGCTCAATTCGCAAAGTATCCATCAATTGTCTCAAACGACTCAGACTTCCTTTGTTATTGCATTTTCATACAAATTGCGTTCTGTTTTCATTCTTTACTGTTCGATCTTCTTGTCTCCCTGATGCCAGGCATTCTGTTCGCGACTAATATCATATACTACTTATGTCTACATAAGTAGCACACCACAACATCAGTAAAAGTCAGCAGGTATACCAACATAGATGTATTTTATTGATCTATAAAGCAAAGGCCTATCAGTCACTAGGGGAAGACTAAATTAACAAACACATTAAATGTGAATAAAGTTGCACATGCGAACAGTAATGCTTCTGAGAACAATCTATAATGGATAAGATTATTGAAACTAACTGACTTTAAACACATGTTTTTGGTGTCTTCAACTTAAGGTTAATGTTTATGATGCAGTTTTAAAAGACAATGATAGCTTTTTAATCGAATTGTTAAAGTTCGAGTAACTTAGCCAAAACCTCATTGCATTAGTACATTGTCTCAGTATACTCGATATGATTCGACGAACAGTGCGGAAGTATAACTTACGGATTTATCATACGGACGATTAGTATCCATATTTTTATCGTATAATCAGAAGACACTTGGTTTATTGTATTTTTACATTCTATTTCCAAGCTTTCATTCAATCCATAAATCATTGTCATACATCTTAATGATTCATTAATCTATTCTTAAATATAACTTGGAGATTGAATGAATAATCATATATTTCATAAATGTATTCGGTTTTCACGGAAAACTATTTCAACCGACCAAGTTTTGATCTGTATTTTGTTTATAATTCCCTTGAGTAAACGTCTATGAGGTCTTAATACTTTTAATTTTAAGTGTTCTCAATCCAGATACTCTTTTCACTTATTTAGTCATAATTTTAATGAGTATTAAAATGGTGGTATCCTAATTAACTTTACCACGTGGCTTACTTAGCCAACTAGATTCTTTTTATTTACTTTTATCACTGATACTAAATAATCATCTCTAATAAATAAAGGTAACTTTGATGATGTACCGTTTAAAACAATCAAACAAGGTAAGCTACATACATGTAAGAAGTGTATTATGTCATTTTTGGTTTATTTTTAGATAATTTTAAGAGAACACGATTCAGATGTCAACGGGTTGACTACTCACCCAGTATTGTAAGTAAACTAAGTATTTATCACAGTTAATTATTTGGGTGCACTAAGGCTGATATATCAGTTATTTTTCCAAAACAGACATTACAGTATAGTCTATTTTAAAATCATAATTTAATTCACTTATGGGAAGGGGACTGAGAAAACGTTTATCAGATTTTCGGCTAAAATACTAAATAACTATAAATTACGTGGGTAACCTAAACGCGGCATTCAGGAATAATTAATAAATAAAAAATGGAAATCGATAATCATCGAGTTATATCATAGATCAACTAAGGTTGGAAATATAAACCACATAGGATCCCGACTTGGTGATATCTGCGCGAGGCATAAATGTTTTGTGCTCAAGCTCGTATGCAATTACGACTGTAACCTATGAACAAGTCCAAAATTAGCAAGGAAATAGCTTTTGATTGTGTTGTATTGTCTTAACTCATTGGCTTAAGTGTGAAGCTTTAGTTCTTGTTATAGGCGCAACATCAGCGATCAATTCATGAAAAAATAAGTTGACTTTTTTTTTCCACAAGCACTAAATCAGGCTGTTTTGAAGTAAGTGCTGATGATTTTATCCATCATGGAAAAGGTTTTCCAATTAAACCGTTGAGCTCATGCAACACAACTTAATCAAATGCGTTCACTTGAAGTATAAATCTTAGTATTTCAAAGAAACAACGGTCTAGTACTTCATCGTAATCAATAATTCTTCTGTTTATATTAGTACGTAACCAGAAGTACTATCAAAATAAAAATAATTCTGAAATATTGGCACATAGTTATCGAATTACCAAGTGAGACTTGATAATTTCCGTTTTTTTCGTATAATTGAAAGATGTTTGTTTATATCTTGTTATGACAGTTACCAGCTCACATTATTTTTGTTACAGTATGTAATGGTTTATGCGGAGCATGAAATTCGCTTGATATGTACGTTATATAGAAAAAATTAGTTAGATATTGGTAAGAAAATCTTTTCTTGGTATTTGATAACAAAACCTAGTGATAGGAAAGAGATTCAGTAAGTACAGATTTATGTACTTGACTAAGACATGTTTTGTATAATAATTAATAATACCACTCGGTTGATCAAAGCAAATTCGATAAGGTTGAATTTGCACCTGCAATACATTGAGTAAGTGACGATTGTTTCAAAGCCTAAATCACCGTTCTACTATCTACATCAGTATTGTAGTTGTTGAGGAAGATTAACCACCATACTAAAACTCTCGTACTCACAAAACATCACTTCATAACCCTTAAGTAACTAGATATACAGGTTCACTCTATCACCTTAGTAATTTTACCCACTATTTATTTCAGTTTCATGGTTCATTCTAATCCATTGAATTCCCGTACTGGATAAATTTTACTAGACTACATTACTCAGCATTGGAGTGATTTACGTATCACTAATTACTAGTTTTCTTCAAAAAGAAATCAAAGAATAGTTTTATTCTTTTCTTCTGTTAATATAAACTTTGCCTATATTATCATTTACAACTTCTTTATTAGGAATCATGTAGCAACATGCAGTCATTCTGGACTTTTAAAAATTTACGATTATGAAAGCAAGTAAGTGTGTGTATCTGTAAAAAAGGGAACTTATCTAAGTTTGGTTGAATTTTATATCAACTTTTTTAATGAATAGAATTTTTAAACTCTTGTTCATATATTAAAATAGCATAGATATATTTTTAAAATCTTTTAAATGTCAGTAAAACAATCTTATCGTTTCTAAAAATGATCTGTTTATAATACTTGTGCATCGTATATTGTATTGGTATCTCATTGTCATTGACTAGAAGTAAACATCAACTCTGGGATACAGGTACATCTAGCTGACGAGTCCCAAATAGGACAAAATGCGCGTCAAACTGGATTCCACTGCTAACCACTATCTATCTTTGCTTAGAAAGCTTTTGACTTAAGGCCATATCGAGGCAATCCGCACAGTATGCACATATGCCAACATGAGACTGATCAATTACAGTCCCAAATAACAATAGGAAGAAACAAGTAAAACAACACCAAGGAATTTAAGGTATGAATTGTTTCTGTTTCTAGTATCTGTTATAAAGAACTTATATCATTAAAAACATTTCTAACAACCTATTCATTTATTATAGCATTAAATGACTATTTATGCTTAAAATAATTCATTTTCATTATATCTATTATATAATAAGTGAAGTAATAAGTTTAATTACATTTTCTATTGTAGATTAGTTATCACAACGAAAAGTTTTGGCTTAAACAATCCAATTCAAAGTTGTGTATACGATAAGACTGGACAATATATTGGTCAGTTATTTTCATATGAATTATTCGAAATTCTCTCATTATAACAATCTGTAACGTATCATATTTGATACCTTGTAAATCATAAGACCAGCTTTCGGAATTGTTGTAACTCTCAAAGAAGATTTACACGAACTGTCAAAAAATCAAACTTTCTCTATCTTTTAGAGCCATTTTGATATATTTAAGTGTAGACTCCTGTTTTCTAGGACAACATTATGCAAATTTATGGCTTGTTGTTTACTAGTGTGACAATGAGTACGCGTTATTTGTCCAGTAATTATTAAGAATAATGTGTACTCGCCAATTACAGTGGATTTTTTTAATCATTAACAAGAGATTTATTGAAATATGTTGGAATTCCGTTCCGTCGTAAAAATTACAGTAAACAGTAATAAACTCAGAGCTTGATAAGATTTACCATCCATAACTACATCAAACAATTTCAATTCATAACGCGCATTTAGCAATTCTTGATTAAGTTTGCACCTGCAACCTTGAAGACGATTCCAGATAAACAGGAAAACTAAAAAACCAATGGTAAGCAGAGACAAATAGTGGCCATCAGTGTAAACCATGACGCACGTTTCGTTCCATTTGGGGCTCGTCAGTTGAATGTGTCTGGATCCCAGAGTTTATGTTCACTCCGAAACTAAAAATGTAGTACCCTTATCTTCAAACTGCATTATTTATCCACTTAGCTACTGAGTCCAATTTATCAACTCTTCTCAAGACACATTTTTACCTTGTCACTTATTTACTTATTAATCCTGACTGTTATTTATGTAAGCGTATGGGTGCGCATTTCTTATCTTACTCATCGCATGTCTATAACTTATTTTTGGTTTGACTATAAATATCGATTCAGGCTTGGTTAAATCGAGTTGGCTCGTCCGCCTTCTCCATTGCACGTTATTTCGCTTAGCTCTCTTCTCTTCACTTTCTTCGCTTCGTTCCTCCAATTGATTGTCTGTTAAGATCAACGATTATATGAAATATACATATTTCAACTTCATTCTCGTATTTGACTTATTTAATTTCGTCTTTTTACTAATGCCAGTTCAGCTGATAATAATATGTGAGCATTGATGACATGTACATTTCAATAACGATCATGATATAATCTACCTGAAGTCAAATTTAGATCCACCAAACATTCTACTTAGTATGTTTGGTTACTATCACATTTATCGGATCCCAATATTTGTGTACTTATAACCATCATGTTTACCTTAGATCCGTTAAATAGAACCTTGTTTCAGAGCTTTCTTAATAGACGTGATTCTGAGTTTTGACTCACAGTACATAAAACGATATGTCTCCATCACTTAGAATCTATGGGAAAGTTGTCAGTATCATCCATTCTCACCATATCACTTTAAATTAGCAATTGATGACACTGAAGAAATCCTTGAAAATAAAAAATGATAGGGAGTAGGGCCTTCAAATGTTTAATATACTGATAAACAGTTTTGCTGTGGTGAGATGCATACATTTTATTTCACCTATTAATTCGTTAGCCATTAGCTTCCACAAGCGGTCCAGTTAGACTTGAGCTGATAGCAACTATATTATCTCTATTCGGTAAACATATTGACAATCTTTTATTAAACTTTAGTAACACCATATGATATTTACTTTTTTTCTTCTATTTCATGTCATTAGCTGTCGGTTTTATGAGTGGATATTTACGTGTCTTAGACTCGTTAACGTTGAATGAGATGACTTCTGAACCATTTACATACGGAAAAGGTCCTATCACTCATATTGATTTTTCATACTGTAATAATTACTGCGCGTATGCTGTGAGTTGCATGACCTTTTAAAATATCAAATTAAAAACTGTCAAAGAATTGTATTTTTACAGTTTATTTTACACTATAATAGTTATGTCAAAAGTGCATGGACTATGTAGATGACCAAGTCCAACAACACTTGATTGTAAACCAAATACGATTACAGATCATTTGCTGAAACAAAACTCTTACTTTGAATAACAGTTTATCAAAGTCATGTAATTCATCAAATATTAGGGTATTAGCAAAAATCAGTTTATGACAAAGAAAGCAATTTAAAAATCAAATAAGTCTTTACAAATCACTAATTTAACTATTTTGTACTCACTAATGACTAGCATTAAGATTAACTTCTCAATGTTCTAATAAATAGTTGGAATCATTGGAGTCAATACTGTTAGAAGTGAAAAAACTATAACTCATGTTAGTAATCAGATAATACTTCAAAATCATTTCAGATGGACATCTAGGTTGTTGAATTTCAACTAGTTTTAATCTCAGGACATGTGAGATCGTAAATACACACTTCTGACGAATTAGATGGTGGTTGGAGGTAGTCGACAAGAAACCCCGTCGACTACCTCCAACCACCATCTAATCTTACAATAGTGCCCGCAGTGTCGAGTCACCTAGACTGGTGGCCACATTGCAACATGATCGATAGCATTCGATCTGCACTAATAATAAGGGCTAGACACGCATGACATTGATCACCCAGTGATCAATCAATTGTGACTTCTGACGAATCTCAACTTACTACAAAACAACTATCTGGCGCTTCTTATTTCTAATATTTATCCAGATCATACCAGTTTATGGTGAAAATTATTTTTGGGGTTGATAAATAATAGCTGCTAAACTGAGTTATTTCGAATTCTATAATGCTAAAAAGATTCTTATTTCAATACTTCTTACTAGTATCAGTTGTCTACATCCATAGGCCAGTTAAAAGTTTTTTCATTATGGGAACAAAGATCATTTTATTTTTATGATGAAGCTATACAATAATTAACGTTATTTTACAGACGTTGGATTTCTTTTTTTTTAATCTAAAATATAAAGGATTCTGCATTCACAACAACATTATTATTACGTTCTAACACTCATGAATGTGAAAATTCATGGTGTTACGTAGCACGAGTTCGTGCTCATAATCGTAGAATTACAGACCTTTTATTTTGGACACTGACAGAATCTAAAAAATCTCGTCTATTCACATTAAGTGAAGATAGAACATTGGTAAGTAATCCTAGTGTTATTAAATAACCCGTATTGTTATCAATAGTAATAATGATGTGATAAGTTGACTAACTGAACGCTCAATTTAACTTCCTAGCTGCTTCTAATAACTCTAGACTGAATTTATATAACCACTTGAACACAAAAGGAAAGGCAAAACTCGCAAAACCAGAGACTGATGATAAGTATTTATTTGACTCCTAAAACAATACGTCACTCCCTATTCACAGTTGGATTAACATTGAGATTTGTATAAATTAGACTAGGTGGTATTTACCAATGATAATTCAGTAACTTACTGTGATTATAATATTTACTATAGATAACTGTAATCCTTCTTGGGATGCGGACACATCACACACTATTGGAAAAAACCAATTTCATGTGTTATTCTCTCTCTAATTGACTAAGTCACTGCTCACCATATCATGATGATAAATAATCTGTTGTGTAAGGAGAAAACAACATACCAGCATTAAATCCAATTTTTAACACTTTTACACGTACTGCAGATCATCGACGTTTATTTACAGTTGTAATCATTTAGGTTGATGTTTAACCACCTTTGATTACCATTTACAATTACTTTTTCTCATATATTGTGTCTAGATGAAAGTAAATTAAAAATACATTAGGATGTGATTCAATTGTTTAAATACCGCTTGCATATTCTATGAAGCAATGAAAGTGTGTTTGTGTTTTCATTGTGCGACTAAACGTCTATGTGAAACTTTGTTTTAACATAAGGCTATTTGATTTGTTTTCAAATAATAGATTATTGTAAACCTCTGTTATTTAGGTTATAATAAGTGACATGATTTTTGTGGATTTTGTCTTTTAATTACACTATCTAATATAAGAAACAGAATTACATTTTATCGTGTTTTCTTTGAAAATATAAAGTTTTCTGTAGTTATAACACAGATGAATCTGTAAACTATTAATCTCATATGCAAATAAAATATAAACAGTTATTTAATTTGTATCAGAAGGGAGTTTTCTGGATATCATAGTAGTTTTAATAGTTGAGATCATGAGTCAATCGAACCTAGACCACTATGGAAAACCTGGAGGCACTGGACGGTCGTTTCGTTCTATTGTGTGACTCTCGCGAGGCGGGATCGTGAATGCGCGCTGATGAGGAGTACCACACTAGGACGAAACGGACGTCCAGTGCTTCCAGGTTTTCCATGGTGATCTAGCTTCAATTGACTCATGATCTCAACTATTAAATTTTATTTTGTTATTTATTATTTGAATTTCATTGTTGTTATGTTTTTTTTCTAGGCTGAATATGATTTATATAATTCAAGGAAACATTCATTACCAGTGATAGCTCGTTATCAAGTTGAACAATTAGCTAAACCATTATGTTTAAGTATGCTACCATTATCATGTTATAAAGAAGAGTTCTTTTTTATATCGAATTCTTCATCTAAAATAAAATTATATAATACATCAACTTTAATGTGTCGTAAGACTGTCAGTTCATTCCCTCAAGGAATTGAATATACAAAGTAAGCTTTCTTTTTATTAATTGTAATAGTGTAAATGTTCATCTAGGCCTGACATCAACTAGATAAACATTGACTCAGTGGTTTAAAAGTGTCTCATTGACTGAGAGATTTGATCGTTCTTGGCCAAATTTACAGTCGCAGGTATACACTTTTAAATAGGATAAAACAACTGTCTATTGTTTCCCGATGCTCAATGGTTTATTATTAATGATTGCGTAAGATATAAACTTACTTAAAATTAATAAAAACCTTCCTAAATGCTGAATTGAATAAAGATTTTGATAAAAGTGACTAGAAAGAACAAAATAATGAATGTGAAAATCCTAAACTATTGAGTTTAATCTTTCAAAAATGTTAACTGACATTAAGTTAATGACAATATAGTCAAAGTGCAAAATATCCTGGAATTCGTTTTTGCTATTTTGTTGATCAGGTGTTTTGGGTTGTTTAAACTATTTCGATACATATTAGCATGTTGAATTTTCTCTTTTTTGTTCAAGGGTTTTACCTCTGATTTCTCAAACAAATAATTCAAGTTATTTTATGGTATGTCTTTCGAAAGAACGATTGGGATTAATTATGCTCCCATTAGATGGTGATCCATTGAAGTATACCAATATTATTGCACATCCAAGTGATGGTCGAGGTGTTGGACAAGCTCAAGGATTAGCTATTGACAGAAATGGTCTTTATGCATTTACAGCTGGTGGTCCAGATACTTGTGTACACATGTGGACATTAAATCCTAGGTAGATATAGTTCGTATTTAATCCTAAACAACTTTTATTGGGATGTGCTACTTTGGTTATATATATATATATATATATATATAGACTTCATGCTACGCTTGTGACTTTCATTGTATTTAACTCTGGCAGTCAACTAGCCATACCTTTAGCGAATCTCAATAAGGCCTTTTATTCGACATTCTGACACGATTTTTTTAAACGCCTGTTAACGCGGAACTCCTACAGAATATTTTTTGAATCAGTCACGTAATAATGAGCATATTACAGACTATGATATCATATTATAATGCACATATGCCAAGAAGAGATTAACCAGTTGCAGTCCTAAACATCAATAAGAAGATTAAAGCGATCAATATAAAAATAAATTAAACTTCACCTCATTGCACAAATTAGTGGTTATTTGGACTCAGTGGCTAAGTGGATAATGCGATGGCGTTTAAAGGGAACGGTGCTACATATGAGTTCAGGAGTGAACATCAACTCTAAGATAGAGGTACATCAAGCTAACGAGTCTCAAATAGGACGAAACGTGAATTCTGGATTCCACTGCTAGCCACCATCATCTCACATTATTTATTTTACTTTTTTCTACATAGTAATAATACCAATTCATACTGAGAGTAACAGTATTTTTGTAAATGTTTTTCCTTTTATACTTTTCCTATGCGACAAATAGTGTACTAGGAAAAACTGTCAATATAGCAGGGTGTATGAAGAGAAGATTTTATGACTTTTTATCTCGAGATTTTCTGGAAGAAATGAAAGATTACTTCTACTATTCCATGATTAGAACACAAGGAATTTGTTGCATGGATGAACGTAAAACATCATTCACGATTCCGATAACAGAAATACCATTTGTTATGAGGGCGATAGGTTTTTATCCAACAGAAGCAGAGGTTGGTATTATCAAGTGTCACATTCTGTAAATTTATTTACATTTTGAAATAGTGTATTACATAATATTCAACTATTTTTTCTACGAAATAATTTAATACAAAAATGGTCAACTGTGTTTGAATAGCAAACAAAAAGGTTAATACATAAAAGCAACACGAATTCTTTTACGTAATGACCTGACTGACTATGTTCTGGTGATCTTTGATCAAACTTTTAGTAAGCACTAATAATATTGTACAGAATAACAAAGAAAATTTCACAGTTAAACTATCTTGATCGAGGAATTCAACGACATCAAAATGTCATATTTTCACTCTACTTACTAAAACCAATTCAGTAGGTAAAAGTAGTTTAAAAAATAACTGTTGAATTATCTTCTAATATATTTTAGGTTGAAAATATGATAAATGAAATTAAATATTCTAGATTTTGTGATACTGGAGAATATACAACAGAAATTGATTTGGACACATTCATTCAGTGTAAGTTGTTTAATTCTATATAAACTTGTTCAGACCTGTTTTTTGATTGATCGCAGAAGTTAAAGTTTGTTTCAACATATTTGAGATTAGGCGTCAAGTGTTAAAGCATTAAAAGTAATTATCACGAAGGAATAGAAGACTTTTGGCTGAATTATATGACAACATAAAAAATACGTGATTAAACTTATTTTACGGTAGACAAATATTTTTTAAATACTACAAACTAGTCAAAATGTTCTTAGAATGAAATATACCTTAACAGAGATTGCATGAACTTGACTAAATCCAAATGAACATAAAACTTATGTCTATACATCACTTCAGATTGATTAAATACAATAACCAGCTGATCATCTATTAAAAAAACAATATTTCTAAGTAAATACTTACTAAAACAACTTCGAAAAGCCTTTTTTTATTCTAATGTCAATTTTATTTTTAGTATATTGTAATCATCGACCATTCCAAGGTGTATTATATAAAGATGTTGAGAGTGCTTTTAACATTTTAACAAATGCAAATGTTGGTAATAAAGAAAATTGTGCTGAATTGTCGAATTCTCAGGAAACAATAACACAGGAAAAACCAACTATTACAATGGAAGAATTATTTCTTACTTTACAGAATTCAGGTGAGCTTGGAAGATAGATTGAATGCGAGACTATAATTTATGGACAAACTAATGAGATTTAAGATAGCAAGTCTTAGATTTTGACATTAAAGCTGATATCAATTCTTGGTAAAAACCCTTGCATCCTAACCCTAAACTTTAACTATGAATCCTAATCTTAATTCCTCATACTAATTATATCCATCTATTGACCCTGGCAATTAGATAAGTTTTCCCAAGGTTACTTTAGCGTCGTTCAAAGGTTGTCCATAAATTATAGTCTCACAGCAATAACCATTAAACTGCTATACTAACTAACACTTTTTAACTTTACTTTTCACATATGTAAACAATAAAGTGCATTAAATACCTTAATCTCTTTAGATTAACTGACCAATATTACTATGCTATGCCTTTATATAGCTTAATGAAACATTTTATCGATAACTTTTCACCTTACATGTGTTTACATGTGACTAAATATCTTTGTTTACCTTTCCTCAGCTTCATATTATTTTGCTTTTTGTTACCGAAAAAGCACTTAACGAATTCTTCGGACCATTTGATTTGATTTGACACTAAGTGATATATATATATATATATATATATATATATATATATATATATATATATATATATATATACATTCGTACATAAATGGAAATATCAGTTTTTCAAGTCTTAGGATTTCTTTTGATTTAGATTTCGCAAAGTAAGCTGCAAATCGAACTAACATATCATGAACTGAAACTAAACAAATATATATTTTCTTATTTTCTAAAACTAACTCATACTGATTTAACTAAAATTATATTTGAAATTCTATGCAGATTGAATGAATGTTCCATTTAAAAAGCATGTGTTCATAAATGTATACTTCCGTATGTTTCTGCTGAATATGAACTTTATCATGTTTTAATGCATAAAAGCTGAATGCTAGGAATACTAGTACACAATTCTCGGAATCTGTATTACAGAAAAGTAAAATGGTGGCAATATAGGTGGAAATTGATTTTAGTGTATATATCCAATTCAAAAGTGATATATGTTTATAGATTACCTTGAAATATTAAAACTTCTATTAAATCAGTATACAAAAGAAGTATAAGTAAAACAGATTGAAGATTTTTCGGAAGTCCCTGAAGTTTCATATGTTAGCAACTATTTTCGGTAATTTTAGGCTTGTCTAAGTATTTAAGAGATGCTTATTATTAAGTCTTAACACAGACCTGAAAAAGTACAGTTATATGAGTTACATTTTTTTTATATGCAGCAAGATATAATCATATAAACTGTTCTGTATATAAACTTTTTGCTTAGCAACAGAATGTAATTCAAATAACCAGTCTTTCATCAACATTTCAACAACCTTTTCATAGGTTATGATTCAATGAAAAATATTTGCACACATTCTAAGTGATACTAAGTAGTTTGATTTCAGTTTTATTGGCTTGTTAATTAAAAACATAGGTAGTTTTAATACTGTCTATATTATCAGGCTAAAGCGTAACTTTCATTGTAGAAGTTTATTTCATGAAATTAATGTTCACTTAACAAAGTAGATACATTAGAAATTCAAAATAACGTGAGTGTGAAATACCATATCCTTCCATGACTCAAATAAATACTTCAAAAAGTCTCATGTCACATTCATTTCTCATAATTTATCATAAATATTTTGAGTAAGGGTCCATTTATATATCATAATATATTTAATATGACTAACTGAAAAACCAGTTCAGATAGTTACATAATCCATTACTCTTGTTCCAAACTCAAGTTTTTGCGTGTATAAACTAATTTAATTCTTAGGCGAAGCAATCGGAGAAGCTGAAATGTCTGAATACATGGCAATTCTTTGGGGTATTATACCCGAAGGTGATCGCCAAGAAATCTTGGAAGAAATTGACCCGAAGAAAGTTGAAAAAGAACTTGAATCACGTATGTCAACACCCATAAATGCTGAAACTTTTGTAAGTGATATCTTACAAATGTATGTATATGGTGAAGATAAGCTTTCAGCCGATCATTCTAAAGAACTTTTATCGAAAAAAATACAACAAAATGATACACCTCTTCTTGATGAGTTAATGTCAAATGAAAAATATGCTGCTAACTCAACGCAAACAGAATAAAATTCTCTTTCATTTCTTCAACAGTTAATCGCATCTAAATTCAATATTTCTACTTCAAACAATGAGGAAAAACGTTTACATGAACAAAGATTTACACGTATACAATATAACTACACGTTTACTGTGTCTTGATTTTAATAGTTTAGTCGTTTACGTGAAGCTTTGTATTTGAACGCTGATTGTCCTACCAGATATTACAACAAATTACCATTCAAAGTGTCCATGTAAAGTGGTATTTATCATAAAAAGCCTGATTCTCATTATTAATTATGTTATTGTTTTCCTCATACATGTGTTACGTCTCTTCGTCTAACGTTTAAGAAAATAGACATTTTACATAAAAATATTTCAATCGAATTTATATAATCCAACAGTGAATATTTATTCGCTAAATAAATTTTCTGGATCCAGAAGGTTTTGAATATTTACTGAGAATAATAAAACATACGGAGATTTTTTCCTCATTCCTTTATTTAGAAATACTATTTTGAGCTTGATCTGTGTTGAAGCGTAGCTTGACTATATGAACTACAGTTCCTGTTGTTGCTTCTTACTATGTTGATGTAATGTAGTGCAATATGAAATGAAAGATATTTGCGACAAGTTCTGTGGTGTTAATATTTTTCTGTTTGTCTACATTAAATAGAAGTATTCCGGAATTAAAATTACGTCAAAATAAAAAGCCTAAGATAGTAAAAGCGTAAATTAAATGTATATGTACCATGATTGCACGATGCTGACATATTAAACCTCTAAATATAAATAATCAAGATTTAATTTAATGCGGTAATGTTAGTGGTACAAAGATTTCACGGATATTTAGTGTTTGACAATTTTGTTGTCCGTAACACATTTTTAACGAAGATCCTAAAGTCAGTCAAACTTGAAGACAGGAATGATTGGATTCAAAAATATATTTGAAAAATGGTTGACTCATCCAGAAGTGCATATTTTAAACTGACTAGTCGTTGTAAGTAATGGGCAGCAAGGCCAACTCAAACGCAATCTGGAGCAGAACACTTCCCAAACACCTTCAAATAGAGGTGTATATAGCAAACTAATGATGTCAGCATAAATACCGGAAACTTACCGACCTACTTACATTGGGTTTTTAACTTTTACAGGTATAATATTTCGAGGAATAGGTAATAACTAGCTCAAGAATAGCTTTTTAACCATAGATTTAACACCACCAGAAACAACAAAAGGGGTAGTAAATGGTGATGGGGGAAGCCTTTTGTTGAAGGATTAGCAAACAGAGCTAAATTTGCCATCAAGTTGATAGGACATATAGTCTCATTAACACTAATGTTTCTATAAACCTGATATACTATTAATATGGTTGAAATGTCGTCAGACTTCTAAAACTGTAATTTCAGTTCTCATATTTTGGTTCTCCTCAATTTAATTATAGCAACAATAGGAAAACTCTAAAAATTCCTACGGTGTTTTATTGGGTAATAAATAACTCTTGTTCAGGACTCGCTTAACCGTGGTTTTTATACTTTTCGATCTCCTTTGGCTTAACTTTCATTACTTGACGTTGATTAAAACTTACCTTTATTATTTAGCTTTCTTGTTGTAGGATGCCGTGAGATCAGAAACAGGGTCTTGTTTAAATGAATTGAAGACTTTGGCGTATGGTGATTGGTTATTGTTATTCTCTGACTGCCTTCCAGAGGAGGTTATTAGGATACTTGTAGACAGATATTTGGTCTTATTTTGTTTCGGATATTCTTGTTGATTCTCAGTGACTTATTATTTATTAGATAACCATATTTTTGTTGGATTGTGAGTTATTTTGGGCTAGAGGGACCTTTACCGCTTAGTGCAGGTTTTACTGTCTGGGTATTTTGTATTTTCGACATATTTTTTCTGTCTTCGCTCTCATTCAAACCATGTAAATTAATCACAGAGTTTGCATTTTGATAAAGATTAATATAAATGACTGGAAAATGCTTTGTACGTTACGCAGAAGTTAGTTTGGTCCAATCGAAAAAACTTTAGTTTGATGGGTCATCCCCTTTGTTCAGACGAAATATTCAAAATTCGGTCGTTTCACTTATGAATAGCTTATGATTATTTAGGATATGAGAAAGTTCTATGAAGCAACTTAATCGAAGCAGTATTCGACGTTTGCTCAAACTGTAACTGACCTCCAGTTCAAACCATCACTTCTGAATAGATCTTCTGAATTAAGGCTGTTTTTTGGTCCTTAAGCAAACGCTTATGGGACAGTGGTATAAGACTTTATGCATTTACTCACGGTATTTATTTGATGTGTAATTAATATGACTGGTAGGTAAGGAAGGGTGAGAAAGTCGTTTGGTAATGGATGAACATGGCCGGATGTTACAAGAGTAGCTTGATGAGACGAATTAGTGAGTAGCTCATTTTACGGTAGCTTCGAAAGTTCATTCATTTAGATACTAGGCCTGAAAACTTTTATCAGTGGTAAAAGAGGAGTGCCACATACCTTTCGACTCAAATTTACAGAGAATAGCTTTAATGGAGTGATAATATCACCATTAACAGATGGAGACCGAATATATTCGCTTTAAAGGAGGGAAGCATAAAAAATAAACAGTGATGATGTCTCTTTCGCATCAGTAAGAATTCATTAATCGTATTATATAGGTTGTTTCTGAATTATCTGAAATCACTGTTCGTGTTCTTATACAGGTCTCGTTGGTGTGACTGTTTCTGTAACTTATTGGATGTAACCGTCAGTTTGTAAAAATTGTCGAATCGTAGTGGTTTATTTAGTTTAAATTCATGTCATGGAGGCCAGGTAGAGATCTGTTTTCGTATATTTAAAAGGGGATCGCTAAATCTAATGTGAGTAACTATGGCTGTTGTCTGTCATATTCCCAACCCTGCGCATCTTGTTGTCTGTCTGAGGCGGCGAATGCATGAGATATATATTCCCAAACACTCTTACCTCTGAATTATCTTATTCTTTTATCCAAAAACGCAGTTAAGTCTACTATTGAATATGAAGTTAATTAATTACGTTTCTGTAGTGTTTGTATTAAGTAATGATTGTTTTGTACTTGATTCCAAGATGATTTTGAATTCTAAATGTAATACGTTATTTTGTGCTTATATAGTTCTATTTGGCTTAAAATGCACTGCTTCGTAAGATCATATTTAATACAATAATTTAAATACTTCTGGTTATCATAGTTTTCTAATTCCCCTTCACTTACACTTAAAGTTAACTACGAGCACCAAAAACTAGACGTATAGTTTTATTTATTTATTTATTTATTTGAACACATAAATATTGGTACAGGGGGGCACCAAATATATATGCGCCACACAAAACAATGATAATTTGAAGAGAAGGAGAAAAGAGAAAAAAAAGTAATGAATGTGGGGAATTATAAAAAAAAGAGAGAGAGAACAATGATGGGGAAAACGAAAAGGTACAATCAGAAGAAATCTTTCAGTTAAGGAAGATACAACCACTTTTATGAAGAAAGTAAAAGAAGGTTACAGCAGGATCGCCACTGGCTTCTATTCTGAGCCATATCTGATAACGTCTCTAGCCACTGCGTTACACCGTCTCTCGGACCCCAGCCACGGAGTCGTGAAGGACCAACAGAAGCTAGTCCTTTGCAGCTTTCTTTCATACCACGACACCATGTCATATACTGACCACCTTTCCGCTTTTTCCAACCTGTCCCAGAGTCGGCAAATAATGCACTACGTGGAATTCTCTGGGACAACATTCATAGAACATGTCCAAGACACCGAAGTCGATGTTTCAAGATGGTGACACCAATTTCATTATCGTCTCTGTGACCGAACACTCGATGTCGAACCTCTGCATTACTGACATGATGTTGCCACTGGATGCCAGCAATCCTTCGGAGACAACGATGATCGAACACAGAGAGTCGTCTAACATCCTCAACTCGGGGAGGCCAGGTTTCACAATCATAGAGCAAAACTGCTCTCACCGACGCGTTGTAGATCCGACCTTGTACAGCCAGACTAACATCACGAAGGCGCCAAAGATGGCCCAGATTGGCATAAGCCGCTCTGGCTTTCACTATACGTGCATTGATCGCATCACTCACACCACCACGAGCACTTATGCAGCTACCCAGATACACGAACTTCTCGACTACTTCTATCTGGTCACCATCCAGAGTGAGTACAGGATTAGAATCTTGCCAGTCTTGTAGAAGAACTTTGCACTTCGAAGGTTCAAAGCACATACCATACCTACGGACACTAATTGCCAACTGATTAAGTGCGGATTGCATGACTTGAACATTCTCGCACAGTAAGACAATATCATCCGCATGCTCAAGGTCGAGTAGTCTTTCTCCAGGCAACAGATCCACACCACCATTACTTACATCCATCAGAGCTGTTTCCAGAATGTCATCGATGGCAAAGTTTTAGAGGAGTGGTGAGATTGGGCAACCTTGCCTAACCCCACTGCTCGAATGGAATAGTGGAGAAAGGTGGTTGTATGCCCTCACTCTGCCTGAGATGTTTGTGTATAGGGCTTTTAGGATGTTAATAAACTTCTCAGGCACACCCTTCTTCAATAGACAATCCCAAAGAACAGTTCTGTCCAACGAATCGAAGGCAGCCCTGATATCAAGAAACACTACGATTGTTGGCCTTTGATAAGTATGGCGGTGTTCTAACACTTGGCGGAGGGTGAAGATATGATCAATACATCCTCGACCAGAAGAAACCCAGCCTGCTCCTCGTGAGTCCATCCTTCTCGGGTTCTGAACAACCTACGAAGTATGACGGAAGCCAATAGCTTGGACGCAATCGGAAGTAGACTTATCCCCCGATAGTTGTTACAGGAACAACGTGAACCCTTTTTAAAGATAGGGACAACTATCGACTCACTCCATGACGTTGGTACACTCTCTAGTTCCCAGATCTTTGTAAACAACGTCGTCAGTCCCTTAGTCAGAAAGTCACCACCATCTTTAAAAAGAGCCGGAGGTAAGTCGTCTGGGCCCGGTGATTTGTAACGTTTCAAGAGTTGGAGTTCCTTGCGGACTTCCGCCTCATTTGGTGGATCAGTCGTCACCGGCCATGGAGGGCAGGACAGTCTGACCGATGTTGCCGGAGCAGCAGGCCAGTTGAACTGCCCTTCGAAAAATTTTGCCCATCGTCCAAGACGTCGATGGATGTTAGTGATTGGCGTTCCGTCATCCTCGCAGATTGTTTCGCTCACACCAGACTTCTTGCTGCCAGTGGCTCGGATGAGTTGGAAGAGCTTCCGGTAATTACCAGATGCAGCCGCTGCTTCTAACTCACTGGCACGCTCCGGCCACCAGGCTTCTCGGTCCTTACGCAAGCTTTGCCCGATTTCATTACGTAACATCCTTCGTCTGTGGTCAAACTCACGGTCACCCGGAGTAGACCGACGGGCTTCAATCAGTTGTAAGGAACCAGAATAAACCCAGTGCTTGTAAGCGGGACGTTTCGCGAACCCAAAACAGACTTGGCCCGCCATTTTCATGGCGTCATGCAATTGCAACCAATGCTCATCTATACTTTTCGGTGGAATGGTAGCTAGCCTAGAAGCTAGCTCGGTTCGGTACATACTAGCAACAGAAGTT